CCCCTTAAGTTCCCTTTACCTTATCTACTTTTAATATCAATGTCTTAAGTATTCCCTCTATATACATTGAGTACCGCATCAGATAGTGCAATAATTTCTGTTTCAAATATCAAATGTGATTTAAGAAACTCATATGTAGGGTAATCTATCATATTTGATCATATTTTTATCCATTTTGATACTCTTCTTTCTTTTCTAAAATTCCAAGTCTTCTTTTAAGATTACTATTCTGTCTAGAGAATTCTTTAGCCATCCTCCAAGAGGAGGTTTTCTAGCAAATTCTCTTAGTTTTCGTTCATCTGAGAATGACTTTATTTCCCCTTCATTCCTGAACTTTTTCACTGGATATAAAATTTTCACTTGACATATCTTTTCTTTTCAGCCCTTCCTTCTGGCCTCTGTCATTTTAGATAAGAAATCTGCTGTCATTCAATTTTGTTTTCCCCTCTAGGTAATGTATCATTTCTCTGTGTTTTTGCTTTTACGATTTTTTCTGTCTTTAGTTTTCAGAAGTTTAATTTTAACGTGTCTTGATGTGGATTTATTTGAGCCTATGCTATTTGGTTCACTTAGTTTCTTGAATCTGTCAGGTATACATACTGCACTGTTTCTTGGGGAACACGCTGGCCCTGCTTCCTACCCCCTTGCTCAGCGTCTTTGCTGCTGGGTGGCTGGGGAGGTTCAGCTCCCTGCTGATACCAAGGGTGGGAGAAAGTGGAGTGCTAACTAGATCTGACTCTCACTGCCTTGCTCAATCTTATTGATGCTGGGAGTGGATGGAAGCTCAGCTCCTCCCTGTGCCCTGCTGACACTGGTGAAGAGGAAGGGGGTGAAGCAGAGTGGTGATTAGCCCATCTTTGAACCCTCTCCTTCGGTTACTTTGTTGCCAGTGTGGGTGGTGGACCACTCACCCCAGGACCACACTGACACTATCCCTGCAGGAGAATCAGGGTATAAAACCTGCTTCTGCCACATTCAGGATGGAAGATCAGCTCCCTACTTGGCCCCACTGAAACAGTGGGGGTGGGGAGAGGTGGGGAGAACGAACTTCTGTTAGTGTTTGGCTGGAGTAGGGTGAGTATTGCCAAAAGGTTTTCTGTTGTTAGGCCTCACTTTTCTCGATCCTTTGCCTAGGGGGAACAGGCTTTTCTTGGAGGTTTTACTCTCTGTGCCTGTCGAAGTTTCCATGTTGGAGTTTATGTAACTCCCTGTCTGGGATATATGGGACACAATATGAAAACTCAGGGAACTCACTACCCTGTCTTTCCTCAAATTCTGAGATCCTTAGTCTTTCTGACTTCTTTCCACCTTTCAGAGACTTTCTTTACTTGTTTGTTGTGCTATGGCCAGCGATTTTTCAGTTCTAAGAGTGAGGACCTGCAAGGAATAGGGATGTTCTATCTTTACCAGAATTGGAGTCTCCCTTCCTGTATCTCCATGACCTTTTGGAAAGTTATAATACCCATCCTCCCCTACTGCAGGTATATGAGCACGGCGTTACAACTTGGGGGATGATATTAAGTATGTAAGGAGTTTCCCTTCTACTATCTGTGATACCACACCCCCCAGAGCAGTCAAAGCCCTCTCCTGCGTCTTGGGAGCCCTAGGTAATGGGTATTACCTTCTCTCATGAAACATGGGAGGAAGACACAGCACATTTCTTTGTTTTTCTAAACCAAATTGAATTTGAGTCCAAATTGCACACACCTGGCTGATAGAAAGCCCAGTATCAGTAATTTCAAGGGTTCCTTCCCCTCTGTGCAATAGTATTAGATTTCGGTGCTTACTTGGTCCCAGGAAAAAGGAGATGAATGTAGTCCTTAGTTCTTCTTTTTTTCTATGGATACCCCCATTGTTCGTTCTACTAGAGGATGACCTACACTGGTCCTTGCTAGTCTGTCTGGCTTCTGTGCCAGAAGAGCTACAGAGCTTCCCCTTTCAGCAAGCCTTACCACTGGTCACAGGCTGAATCCCTGAATCTCTCACAGCTTCTTTCAGTGTCTCTACACATGGCGTCCACCTTCCACAGAGGTCCACAGCCATATCCCACCATTTCTCGTGGGTCAATGAAATGAGGTTTAAATCTCTATCATCAGCAGAACCTGTCACTCAACCCGACATACCCTCAGTCTCTGAGTAGTGGATAAGAACATGGAATATGGATTCAGACTACTTGGGTTCAAATCCTGCATCTACCACTTAGTAATTCATTCACTTTAGACAAAATCGTAGCTTTTCCAAGCTTTATTTTCCTCATCTACAAAATGGAGATTATAATAGTACCTATAATAGTGGTAGCTAGCACTATTATAATAGTGGATTAAAAAAGCTAATATTTGTAAAATTTTTGCAACCATGCTTGTTAGCATAATAATATAGCAGATGTGTAAGTTTATATAGTAAAGTACAGTAAGTTCTATATACTTAATAGGTAGAGTTTCTCTGCCTAGCCCATGCTCTGCTTTGGCCTCAAGCTGATCATAGCCTCTTTAACTGCTAAGGCTTTCACAATATTCACCTGGATAGGGGTCCATTTTCAGGGTAACCCTGAAGTACACTGAAGATGTTACTCTCCTACCTGCAACACACCCTGCCCTGACCTGGGTGAGAAGAGCCTGGACTAGCGCTTCTCAAAGAGTGGTCCAGGGGCCAGCCTGGTGGTGCAGCAGTAACGTTTGCACATTCTGCTTCCGCAGCCCCATGTTTGTGGGTCCAGATCTCAGGTGCAGACCGATGCACTGCTTGTCAAGCCATGCTCTGGCAGGCATCCCACATATAAAGTAGAGGAAGATGGGCACAGATGTCAGCTCAGGGCCAGTCTTCCTCAGCAGAATAGAGGAGGATTGGTGGCAGATGCAAGCTCAGGGCCAATCTTCCTCAAAAAAATAAAAAAAAAAAAGAGTTGTCCACAACCATCTGCATCAAATATTTAGGGATAGGGTCAAGGTATATACATATTTATTAAGCTGCCCTTGTGATTTTAATGTGTAGTAAACTTTGTGAACTGCTTCTCTGTACTCTCCATGCCTTTTCACATATGGTTGCCTCTTTCTGAAATGTCCATTCCCCTCACCCTCACCTGTGGAAACAAAATGCAGCCTCCTCCAGGAAGCCTTCCCTAATTTCACGTTCACCACACCAGCATATGCAACTTCTTCTCTTACTCTGGGATGAATGAGATGGGGAGGAATCAGAACTTGGGTGCAGGAGATTGTTGGGGAGTACTGGAACGCAGCACCTGTACAGGAGTGCTGGGAAGGACCCATGGTTTGTACTTGGAATTTGTGCACTTGAGGTGACATTGTAAAAAGGGTGGGGGAAGGGATGAGAAAAATCAGCAAACAGGACAGGGGAAAGGGGGAGGAAGCAGCAACAAAGTAGCTCCCATGGGCTCCCTTGATTGGTCAGAAAAGTAAATGCATCTCCCCACATAACCACCCACCAGACATCACATACGTTTTTGTCAGGAGGAGGAGTGTGTGTGCAAAGTTGGTATCAACCACCAGCCTCATGGCGCCACAGTATCACTGCCTTAGCTAAGTATGCCTGGGTCCACCCGACTGGCTGCTTTGAAGCAATGGTGCACGGTGTGAAACATCGAACTCCGGAGACTAAGCCTGTGCTCGGAACCCCTTATACTCTCATCATTTTGTCCTTGCGGTAGCCTCCTTCTGCAAAGTTCTTTATATCTACATCTCTGCTTGTGAAAATCTTGCACATCCCTCAGGACCATTCCAAGGCCCCGGGGACTATGCTCAGGCACCTGAGCCTCTGGGACTGAGAGGGGACAGAACCTAGGAGCAGGGAGGGAGGTGGCCCACCCCTTGACTCTTCCTCTTCACCTCCAGAGGGCTCTGAGGTACAGTGGAGGCTAACAGCTCCATGGAAGCCCCCCTTCCCTATCAGCGTGGCCTGCCGTGTTCTCAAGGCTGTGAGTGATCAAGGCGTCCCAGACATCACCTCGGCCAGAAAGTGGGACCCGGCGACCCGCGTTTGGAACAGATCCGTCAGGGCACTCCAGTGCAGGAGCTCAGAGACTTCAATTAGAGGTGAAAAAAATATATTTATTTGATTGAAACTAAGATACCAGCTGAGGGGCTGAGAGAGGAGTGGCTGCAGAAGGAACCTAAGCGGGCGGGTCGCCCTGCAACTACCAAACATCCCCATCCTCCGCTAAGTTCAATATCTAAACTTAGCCAAGTGTCTCTTGGGTTGCATCAAGTGAACATTTGTTTCTTCGTTCAGACAATTGTCCGGGTCCCTTCTAGCCTCGTACTTGACTATATTTTAGGTTTCAGATTTTATTTGAGTAGGGATTTAAGAAGGCTGGTTGGTTGCTGTTCTGAGAATGATGTAATATCCCGTGTCACTTAATAGGGGTCCAGGACAGAAGCACATGCCAGCTTGCGGATCCTGGAGAGCAGGCCCTCAGTACATCTCCGGCCCCACGGATCAACCCCCGCCTCCGCCCGGCTTGCGCTCCCTCCCACCGCTCCAGCTCGCTCCTTGCCCACGCCTCCCGCTGCCTCCGCCCCTCACTCTCGGCCCCCCGCGTCGTCCTCGTCCCACACACACTTCGCTCCCGCCGCGCCGCCCGCACTCGGCCCGCACTCGGCTCCCTCCGGCACGCGGTCCTCGCCCGCCCCGGCGCCCCCGCCGTCGCCGCCGCCCTCCCCGGACTCGGTCGGCTCCGCGCCCCGCGGGCGTCCCCGCCGCTTGGCCCGAGAGCCCGCGCTCCCGCCTGACGCGAGGCGCCGCCGTCCCGCCGCCACGGCCAGCACGGGTGCCACGCGCCGCCGCCGCCGCCGCGCCGCCGCTCGCCCGCCGCCCCCATGGCCCCGCAGCAAACAGGTAGCAGGAAGCGGAAAGCGCCGGCGGTCGAGGCGGGCGCTGCGAGCTCGTCGTCGCAGGGCTCGGCGGCGGCGGGCGGAGAGGGACCGCTGCTGCTCAAGAAGCAGAGGCGGCCGGCGACACGGCGCTCGCTGGTGCCCTACCTGAAGGGCCGCGAGGTGGGCGCGCGGGGCCGCGCCGGGCTCCTGGGCTTCGAGGGCGAGCTGCGCGGCTACGCGGTGCAGAAGCTGCCCGAGCTGCTGCGGGAGCGCGAGCTGGCCCTGGGCACCCTCAACAAGGTGTTCGCGTCGCAGTGGCTGAACGCCAGGCAGGTGGTGTGCGGCACCAAGTGCAACACGCTCTTCGTGGTGGACGTGCAGTCGGGCCAGATCACGCGCATCCCCCTCATGCGGGACCGGGAACCCGGGCCGGCTCGGGCCCAGCCGAGCTGCGGCATCCACGCCATCGAGTTGAATCCCTCCAAGACGCTTCTGGCCACGGGGGGCGAGAACCCCAACAGTCTGGCTGTCTACCAGCTGCCCACCCTGGACCCCGTGTGCCTGGGCGACCGCCTCGGCCACAGGGACTGGATCTTCGCCATCGCCTGGATAAGCGACACCGTGGTCGTGAGCGGTTCCCGCGATGGCACCGTGGCTCTGTGGCGGATGGACCCCGACATATTCAATGGCAGCATCGCCTGGCACAATGACGCGGGGCTCCCCGTGTACGCCCACATCCGTCCAAGGGACTTGGAGACCATCCCCAGGGCCAACACCAACCCCAGTAACCGCAAGGTACGGGCCCTGGCTTTTAATCGCAAGAACCAGGAGCTGGGAGCGGTGTCCCTGGACGGCTACTTCCACCTGTGGAAAGCCCGGAGCACCCTGTCCAGGCTGCTGTCCATCAGGCTGCCCTACTGCCGAGAGAACGTGTGCCTAACCTACTGCGACGAGTTGTCCCTGTACGCGGTGGGCTCCCAATCCCACGTCTCCTTCCTGGATCTGCGCCATGGTCACCAAAACATCCGGCCCCTGTGCTCTCGAGAGGGCGGCACGGGCGTGCGCTCGCTGAGCTTCTACCAGCACATCGTCACCGTGGGCACGGGCCACGGCTCCCTGCTCTTCTATGACGTCAGAGCCCAGAAGTTCCTGGAGGAGAAGGCCTTGGCCAGCCCGGACTCCTCTCCCGGGCCCGCAGCGAGGAAGCTCAAGCTCACCTGTGGCAGAGGCTGGCTCAACCACGATGACCTGTGGGTGAACTACTTTGGCGGCGTAGGCGAGTTCCCCAACGCGCTCTACACCCACTGCTACAACTGGCCTGAGATGAAGCTCTTCGTGGCTGGGGGCCCTCTCCCTTCAGGCCTCCATGGGAACTACGCAGGCCTCTGGAGCTAAGGATGGCCGCCCTGTTCTCAAAGTGCCCAGATTACCTTCCAGTCCCCTCCCACTTTCCTTCTTCATGCTGTGTTTGTGTTTTTAACTGTGAGTTTCGTCTTCAAAGTGAATCATACCCAATTTACCTGTGCTTAGTGTATTAGGCAGAGAGAGAGGTGGGGGGGTGTCTTTTAGGCAATTAGAAGTTGGCTTTAATACTTTTCTACACCTCTCCAACACCATCTTTTGGAGTTCTTATTCAAAGATTTTTGGCTGATCCTTAGTTGTGTTCTCTTTTTGAGTCATTTACATATTCTCTTTAATGCTGTGTGCTCATGGTTTGACGGTTGTGTATTTTTTTTTGTTACTAGTATTACAATAATATTTTTAGGTATTTTTCATTGCAGATAGATGGTATATTAAGAACATATTTTTAAAAACAGGGTTTGTACATCTGTTCTGGAAAGCTAGCCATAGTTTTAGAGCATTGTTTCAATTGGAAAATACATTCCAAGTTCTAGATTACCAACTTTTGGAAACATTCCATTTGTAAATCGTAATCTTAGTGTTTATAGTGTGTAAGGTGTCGGTGCTAAACATGCTTTTTAAAAAGTTTATTCTCTTTGAAAAGAAGTTGTCATAGAATCTTGTTTTTTGTACTAAAATCTCAGTTTGTCAGAATACTTCAGGAATGCAAGAATTCTGCTGATTGAATGTTCAGAATTAATCTGAAAACCTACTTAATCTTTTTCTCCTTCAACCCTTAAGTTTTCATGACCAGTTGTTAAGTAGATAAATGAATGTGTATTTTTTCACTTCTTGCCTTAATACTATCAGTACTTGTGAATATATTTGACTGTTTGTTGTTTAAGGAACTTGCACAGAGTTTCAGTGCCATCATTCAAAGCAGGGATTCTAAATGTAAAAATGTAGAATGTATGGCAGGCTGGGCAGAATGTATACTGATCCAGGATGCAGACTGGATATTTTTGCTATTGCTGTTTTTAATACCAAATATTGTATTTGAGCATACTTTAAATTTTCCAGTTCAGCTAAACAGTTAAATCATAAGAAAAAACTGCAAAGAAGACAAGTGAGCCCAGTCCCTACTCCTTCTGAAAAAGATTCTTAATTTGTAAAATCCAAATTAATAAGATTTTGTGAATCTAAAGATTCTTGCTTAAAGTAGAATAAATATATTGTTAAAAAGTAGTGATGTTATAACCCTCAATGTGATAATTTACGATTATCAAGGACACAGGAAGTTTGTTTCAAGAAGATGGGCTGGAGATTAAAAATAAAAAGGATTAGGTTGAAGAAAGGTACTTTGGAGCTCAGATAAATACGAATCATGTATTGTTAGGAAAACAGGTTGTACTTCTCCATATGTGAGAATGTTGGAAGTGAGATGGGAGACTGGCCCTTCCTCAAAACTGGCCAAGTTGCGCTGGCCTTGGATTAATATTGTGGCATGGTTGTTTTTCCTTCAATGTTTTGGCACTCAGATGCTGCCTTGGTGTCTGTCTACTACATGCCTTCAGTTGCAAATCTGAACCAAGTAATATAATGAACAGTACTAAAAGTGAGTTAAGAAATACAGGAAAACTAATCTTTTGTTTACATAGATTATTTTAACAGTTTATATAGTTGGTGTTATATAGCAGTAAAATGTTATTTGTGTGCATGTATATGTCTCCAACTCAGTTGTAAATGTCTTGAGAGCACAGAATATAACGCTCATCTTTGTATTCTCTCATTTCTCCACTATTGCCTAGCAAATCATAGGCAATCAGTAAATATTTACTGAATGAATGCATTTGCCTTTGGAGACCTAAAGTTCAAGGCTATGAAAAATAAATAAGTGCATAAATACATAAATAAATAAAAATTTACTCTTAAATAGTATGGAGTCCTATTTTGTTTCCCCTCACCCTTGTTTTCTTAAAATTTGCCCTAATTCATTCATTTCCAGGTCAGGCCATGGTACTTATCCATTCATAATTTCCCCCATATGTGATACAAGAAGATAAAGAAAAATGTATATTTTTTAGATGGCGCTGGAATTTAATATTTTCACCTGCAAATACTTAGATTTGAAGATTTTTTTTAAATGTTTTTTTCAGAAATTAGTTCTTGAAAGATCCTTTTTTGTAGGCAGTTTGTCTTATTACTTAAAAATATATATTTTCTAAAAACTTCTTTAAATACTTTACTGGAGCATTCACTGCCTGTCTTGTAGGTTATAGGGTATTTTTATGGTATTTTGTCATTGTTTTGGGACATTAGGAGAACATTTTCAGAGGAAATGACACTTTCTGTGTGAGGAGGGGTTTTAAGGAAGAAATAGAAGGAACGTCTCTACTCTGATTTTTTCTCTGGCTTGGCCCTTAACTTCACCACTGACTAACTCTTAAGTTTCTTATAATTTAGGGTATATTTTTTTGTTGACAGATCACATGACTTACCTTTTAAAAAACTAAACAGCCTAAGTGTATGTATTTGTATTATGCAGTTTAATTATTTTGAAATATTTTCTAGTTCAGAGACAAAGTGATCTCCAGAAGTCCAGATAATTGTGTAACCTGTGAGTATGAAATAATTGAAAAAGTAACCATGCTAGCACTCCTGGAAACCCATAAATATAGTTCACTTAAAATACACAGGGGAAAACATATCTTAATGTACAAATTACCTATCACTGTTGCCTGAAAAACCTTAGTTACTTATAACTATGCATAAAAATGTTAGTTCCACTTATCTCTAACTACATACTCAGACATTTCCTCCCCAAGCATATTGCTGACTTGAAAGTTTATGTGCCTCCCCTTTACTCTTTGGATGAGCTAATTTCTATTTTTTTGAAAGGTGGATGAAAGAATTTACTAATCAAGGATATCCACTGAAATAAAATGAGATGACTACTCTGGAAAAAATTCATCTACTAAATATACTCTAGCATTAATGATAAACAAAATCAAATTCTCCAGAGGTTGATTTTTATCCAGCTGTACTCAGTGTTGAATAAGTTGTCTGTCAAAAAATTTCCATTAATTGCTAATTTAGAGTGATTTTAGAAAGCAATTCACAAAGCCCTCTGGATGTTTTACTGACAGCGTCCTAATCTCTGCAAGTCTTAGGTAACCCAGCTACATTAAACATGTCACTATGTGAGCTGCTCAGGGATGGAGTTCAGTGAGAACGAGATGTACTTATGTGAGGGAAAGGCTGCGGACGCCACAGGTGTTTGCTTTAAGGGATGTTATTTTAAGATCTACTGAAAGGGCTGCCTGAAAGTATTTCCTACTACTGGCCTGCTGCAAACCCAGAGACATCTAGCACTGGAGTGTGGCATCAGCGAAAGGGCAAGGTGATTACAGGCGGTTGCCATGAAACGGTCAGGCTGATCCTTAGGAAGGAAGGCGTTTTAACTGCTACGTGTTTTTTTGCACAGGCAATGGTTATTGCTTCATATGCCCTTCTGTCACCTTTTTTTTTCTTTTAAACTCTCAGTGACATCTCAGACAGAATAAGCACTTAATTTCTTCAAGCTTCCATAGGGAAAGTTTTGTTATTATCTTGATACAGCGTTTATCAGATTGTAATGCGGTTATCTATGTGTGTAACTGCCTCCCCCATTTGAATGTGAACTCTGTCATCCCAACACCTAGCAAATAGGCTGCACATAGATGGCACTGGAAAGCCCAGGGCAGTGACTAATACATTAATTCCTTGGCATCAACTATTTTAGCAGATTAGTTGATCAGAACATTAGCGAATGTAATAAGGATTAGGTTGATGGATGAAGAATATCCTGAAACGGGCCCCATGGTAGCAATTCACAGCATGGAATAATGTGGGTAGGGCAGCAGAAACTCTGGTTACATAACAGTTTTGTAGAAAGCTGATATTGGATTTGAGACACCAAGATGAAATGGAATAAATATTATTTTATAAATATTATTTTAAAATCAGAAAAACTTGGTCTTGAATCCGAGCTCTATTATTTGCTTATTGAATAACCATCGGTGTGTTGCTTAACTACTCTAAACCTGACCTTATGTTACTAATCGTTCTGTTCCCAGCATCTGGCACACTGCCTGATGCATATAGACTCTCCATTGACATTAGTTCTTCCTCTCTAGATCTCTACCACTTCCGTTAGAGGGCATATGTATTTTCTTTTACTCATTATTACAGTTTTACAAGGAAATTTTTATGTGCATTGTGGAAAGTTGGACATACAGAAAAGCAAACTATAAGAAAACGAAACCACCTCATTTCCACCAGCCAGAGATCACTACTTTTAACAACTCAGTGTATATCTTTCCAGATATTTTTTCTGTGCATATATGTACCCATCTGTGCAGTTACTACTAAAATGAGAATATTTTCTATAGGTTGGCTTGTAATCTGCTTTTTTAATTTAATGATTCCATCTTTCCATGGCAATAAATATTCATCTTAACTAATATTCAGGATGTTTTTAAGGTGTATAGGTTGAAAATCAAAATGGATGATTTAATGTACCACTCAGGAAATTGCTCCCATCACCAGAAATTTCATTAGAATGACACACCAGGCATTTAACCCAATATAGATTGTATACTTACTTAAACCTCGAGTTAATCGTAAATGTTTATTGTGTAGTGATAATCTCTGTCTACATTTTTGCTTAATTCAGTGATTTTCAGATATTGGAGCACATCAGAGCCACTTGAACATACTTGAAAAGTGAGAGATGTGCAAGTCTCAACTCAGACCTACTGAAACAGTATTTCTTTGTAAAAACACCATTTTATTTGAGTGTTTTCAAATTAATCCATTTAAAAACAAAATGAGACAGCTACAACAAAACAAGGCATCTGCCTTCAAAGTTTATGGTGTAGCAGAGGAGAAAGATACCTAATTCACTAATTATAAAAATTCACTATGACAAAAAAGATAAATATAGTATTAAGGGTATATACTAAGTACAATGAGAATAGCAATTAATTCCAATTGGGAGGGTCGTGGACAGCTCC